ATGAAGTACACTGCTGAGGGGAGCAGGGATGGGCCAGGAGAGGTCTGCTGCACCCTGTGGGTCAAACTCATGCAGCAGTGGCTTTAGCTTCTTAGTGCTGTGCTTTAACCCGCTGTACCACCAGGGAGGGCCCAGATTTCCTGTACTTTTAAAGGACCTTTATTAAATTTTCATTCTGATCATCCCTGTTTGGTATCATAAAATTGAACTCCATTTCTGATAGGAGTTTGTCTTTTCCCTTTATTTTTTTCCTGAATTCAGTCACTTTTTATTTTCTCCGTGCTTTTTCTCTATTTCTTTTCTTAAGTTTTTAAATTTCTGAATCACAAGGTGTTTACTTTCGTGACATTTCTTTAAGAACATCTATTTCAGTTTATTGTGTTACAGTTTTTCCCCTTATTTTGTGTGTTTTTTTAAAAGTAGAGTTCTTTATGAACTTAAATGTTTTGATTATAATTTCCTTTTTTTAAAAAATTTATTACAAAGTTTATTTTTACATCATTTTGCACATTTTTTTTTTCCATCTCGATTGTAATCCCCGCGGGTTTCCCATCACCAAATCACCCCTGTGCCACCACCATAGTTATGATTTCCTTTTTTTTAATGAAAGCTGTTCCATCTATTGATTCCGTAGATAGAATTGGTATGTTGAGCCAGATTTCTAAGTTAAGAGTGCCCTCTTCTGTCATCACATGAAATGCAGTTTCTGTAAAGAATATTTTCCAGTACATGTGGGATGAATTGTGTAGTCTTCTCCTTGGGGGTTTTCTTTTGCATAGGATCTTACATTTCCCCCCTTGCTTCTTTCTATCACCACTTACTTTCAACAGGGTTCTTTTACCTCCCTTTTTATGGACCTCTTTCCCAGAGCAGTTTCTTTCTCATGCCACTACCTAAGTCTTGTAGTTTGTACTCTGATATACCAGGTTTTTTTGTTTTTTGTTTTTTTTTTCTTCCCTTGAGCATTTCAGAACTTCGGGAATGAATTTAGTTCACTCTAGGCCCCTTGTTTTCCTTTTCTCATTCAGTCTCTTAGTGCACTCTGTACAAGGACTTGCAGGAGAATGAGAGATAGGGTTGATGAAATTCAGTATTTATTTTTCTTTAAAAGGTCTTTTCATGATTTTGGTGTTTCTGTGTTCTAGTTCTGATGACAATATCAGTTTTATGTTGTTTCATTTTCTTTTCCTGTTGTTTTTGAAGACTGTTTTGGATAACACATGGGGAAAGTTGACTATAAGGGGGTCATTATTACCCTTGAACTAAATGGAACTCTAAGCTGTAATAAATTCTGAAATACTAACTTTTCTACCTCCATTATCTTTGCCATTTCTTCTACCTGGAATCCCTTCCCTGTTATCATCCATTCTTATGGTTCCTTCTTATATGATCAGTAAAAAGTAAGTTCTTTTTTTCTTTCTGAAGTCCCATATTCTATTTTGGGAGGAAGGATGGGTAATAGTTTGGCATAGGAGTTAGGCTACAAATTCAAATCTCAGATCTGCTACTTATTGTTGCTGTGCCTTTTGGCAAATTATTTAACCTCTCTGTGCCTAAGCTGCTTTAGCTATAAATTTGGGAGCAGTGTCCTAGGTTACTTGTGAGGATGAAATGGGTAAATGTACATAGAAAACCAGCGTAATACCTTAACATACAATAGTCAGAAACCATGTTTAATGTAGTGGCTGCATTCCACTGGGTTAATATGTTATCAGTTACTTAGCTTTCTCCTTATTGTCATCTGTTTACATTTAAACAATCAGAATGCTGTACCAACCATCATCTTGTAACACAAAGATGGAGTACAGAATTGAACAAGAGAAGTCTCTCATCTAAATGAGCAATCAGTTCAGTGGGGAGCTAGACAAGGATCAACAATAATACATGCATAAATAAAATTAAGGTATTTTCAGGATACTATCTTTGGGAGCACTAAGAAAGTAAAGATTGATTTTTTTTTTTAAGATTTATTTATTTGTTCATACAGAACTGGGGTACAGGCCAGAGGCTCAGGGGCAGTGAGAGGCCTCACCAGAGACAGAGTGGGGAGCAGAACAGGCAGATCTACGAAGTACACTGCTGAGGGGAGCAGCGGGTGGGCCAGGAGAGGTCTGCCGCACCATGTGGTCACCTCCGGGGCAGGCGGGAATTGAACTACCGCAAGTGGCTTTAGCTTCTCAATGCTGTGCTTTAACCCGCTGTGCCACACAGGAGGGCCAGTAATGATTGATTTTTTAAAAAAGATTTATTTATTTATGCATACAGAACTGGGGTACAGGCCAGAGGTACAGGGGCAGTGAGAGGATCCACCAGAGACAGAATGGGGAGCAGAATAGGCCTACTGACAAAGCACACTGCTGAGGGGAGCAGCGGGTAGGTCAGGAGAGGTCTGCCAAGCCATGTGGATCACCTCTGGGGCAGGGATCGAACTCATGCTGAAGTGGCTTTAGCTTCTCAGTGCTGTGCTTGAACCCACTGGGCCACCAGGGAGGGCCAGGTCTGGTTTTTTGATGTCAGGATTCTAGGATTTATATATTTATCCTGCCTGGGACTCAAGTTGTGAAGCCCCTTGAGTGAAGGAAGGGAATCTAGAATGAGAGTGGCTCTCTGATTGAGACAGACCTGAATTTAACCAGTGAGCTTTCCCTGTGAACGGAAGTTGCAGGCCTTCCAGATTGTTGTGTTGTGTGTATATATGTGTCTGTATACTTATCTAATAAATGGAATCATAATATATACACACTGTCCTTCATCTTGTTTTCTTATTTTGTTTTTGCCTTTATATGATCTGAGAACATTTTCTCATGCAATTTTATTCTTTTTAGGGGAGCATACTATTCCACTCTGAAGATAAAGTAATTTATAACTTATCCACTATGGAAAGTGGTATTTTTTCCCTCCAAGTTTTTGTTCTTACAGAGAATGTTATGGTTAATCTACAGTGTATATTATATTTTATTGATTCTCACAATCACCTCTTCCTCCCCCCCAACTTTTAATAATTTTGAATCTTACAGTTGTTAATAGTCAGGTGACTACATATTGTCATTGCCCATATATACATTACGTTGATTACAGCCACTAGTAGCGCCGCTGCCTCTATTTAATTGTGAACAGTTTGCATTTTGGGTTTAATTTCCTGTGAATCGTTTTTAAAGAAAAGTTTACCTTAGATTTGATGTTGAAGCAAAAAGTTATTGTATATGTAGAAAACATGAAAAGAAGTGCTAGGTATAAAAGCAAATATGTCAGAATGGGTGTTAGTGAGTTGCAAAAAAATCTAGGAGATAAGAGAGCAAGCTTTTAGGCCCTACTGCCTCACCCAACCTTGTATGGCCCAGCGAGTGATATTATATGGAAAAATAAAGATGGTACAATGGATACTTGTTTCCCAAAACCTTCACCAACACCAGATATAATGATTTTATGTGTGAGAGCCTACATTTTTAAAATTGTTTTAAAATAATTTCATATATTTTTTTCAGTTGATTCACACAGGCCTATTGTCAGTTGCTTCATTTGTACCCTGTCTGGTATTTAGTCCGCCCCTTCTCGCCTCTTTCTGCATTGTTTAGAATCTCTTAAGGCTAAAGGAATAGCGATAAGGCCATGCATCCTTGTATTATACCTAGTTTTCTAGAAATTTTTCATTGTTTTACTGCTCAGTATGTAGACTTCACACAAACACTTTTCAATGAAGGCATTTTTGGGGTCAAATGAAGTCCTAGTTTACTAGGATTTTTAAGTCAGGAAAGGTATATTAAATGTGCTAATAACTACTATGATCATGAAAGTAGCCATATAGTTTTTCTCTCATAACCTGCTCATGCTTTTTCCAGGAATGCTGATCGCTGCATTCTTGGAATAAATCTCCCTTGCCCGTATGTATTGTATGAATGCACTACTGGTTTCTACTTGCTATGGTTTTATTTGGGATTTCTGTGTTATATTAATAAGTGAATTGGTTTCATGTGCTTAGTGCTTGGTTGTGCCATCCTTGTCCACTTTGTGCTTATCTAGTCCTAGTGGATGAATTGGAAACTTTCTACCTTTTGGTATGGTCTGGGACTGTGCAAATAGAATTACTCGGCTTTTGAAAGTTTCATAAATGTGGGGTTCTTTAGACACCCTAACATTAACCTCTATAATCACCTCATATATCCAGTAGTGAGTTTGTATTACCCTGAATCACCTTTGCTTTCTTACCTGCTCTATCTTGCAACATATAAAGTATAGCTGTGACCTGTGGAACAGGTCTCTCTGTGCAGAGCTGCCCAGCTCACAGAGAGGGGTCATGTCTACCAGTCTGGTTTCTTTCAGAGGAACCTTTCAGGCCAGGACTCACACGGTGAAGGCTTGACTGTCATGACACATTCTTTCTTTGGTTGTTATACTACCTGTTTAGGCATAGGGACCAGTGTTGAGGGAAGTAACCTTAATAGAGTTTTGAATACATAGTCCATATTTTAATGCTTGTGGAGGAGGAGCCCGGGTATGAAACTACAGATCTGAACTGTCTTCTGGATTGATTACCATGAAGTTGAGTAGGGGCCATAGATGCTTCCTTAATCACAAGAGATGAGGAAGCCCAAACCAAGAGGGAGCCCTCCCTGCTTCTGATCATGAGAATTGGACTGTCTGAGAACTCCCTTTTCAGTTCCTCTTGGAACAATTACCAGTCCTCTGCTCTCATCTTAGCCTTTTACACTGTGTTTATTTGTATAAATGAGATTGTTCATGGCCAGGATAGTGAGTGACAGTTTTCACTGAGTGAAGCAAAGACATTTCAGTAAATAGATTTAAATGTTTTTTTAGAGGAATACTCTGGGTATTGTATATCAGTATAAAAGTGGAGTTTCTTGGATAGCTCTCAGTAATTTATAAATGAAAATATTGCTGAAATCGCCCTGTATAATTGCATATCCTTAGAAAATGTACAATTCAAAGGTAATATTTTTGTAGAGGCAGGAAGTTCATTTCTCATTCTTTTTCACCTGCAGTTAAACAGACCATTGATAACATTTCAATATTTAATGAAACCTGCTTGAAATGGAGAAGTATGAAGACAGCTGACACACAGGAGATGTACTTAGTAAGTCACTAAAAGTTATTCTATGTATAAGGTGTATCATGTGGGACGTTTACAAGATATCAGCAAACCTAAACATCTACGTAGTAGCTGCTGTCAATGGGAGATTTATAGTGACAGCTGCAATGGGAAAATGGGCACTTTTGCTGCATGTTTGAAGACAGGGTCCTTGGGGGTTGGTGGGAAAGCTAGGGGAGTTTCTGTGGGCCTGCCCTGGTGCAGAGCTGACATTCAGGGGTGCCTGTGCCCGTGTGTCTGGCTAGGCACTGAATGCGTTGTCTGCAGAGTCAAGGGGACCTTTGAAACGAGATGTGGTTTTAAAAGGGAGAGACCATGGAATGAGCTGCTCAGGGAGAGATTAAGTAAGAAGAAAGATGTATGCATTGGCCCAACTGCTGGGGGTGTTACAGAAAAGCATAGGGTATGTCAGGAGTGGGCAGGCAGAAGAGAAAAACCCTTCCTCAGTTTTAGCGATTAGTGGAGTATCTTAATTCACATTCTGCTTTGGAAGATGCTTAGATTTGCAGTTTTCTTTCTAGGAGAACTCTATGGCTCTGATCTTGCAGTCTTGCCAAAGGATTTCAGGTTTGGCCATGGCCCTGGTATGTGTGAGAATAGAAACGAGAAAGTTGCCAGCAAGAGGGCTTTGGCCTTGGTACATTCTTATTTAGGAATATATTTATTATACTGATTATAACCATATATTTATGGTATTACCACTCTAATATTTGCTCACTGTTGTGCTTCAGTTTTTTTTTTTTTAAAGATTTATTTATTTGTGCATACAGAACTGGGGTACAGGCCAGAGACTCAGGGGCGGCGAGAGGCTTCACCAGAGACAGAGTGGGGAACAGAACAGGCAGATCGATGAAGTACACTGCTGAGGGGAGCAGTGGGCGGGTCAGGAGAGGTCTGCCACGCCATGTGGTCACCTCCGGGGCAGGCGGGACTCGAACTCATGCGGAAGTGGCTTCAGATTCTCAGTGCTGTGCTTCAACCCGCTGCGCCACGAGGGAGGGCCAGTGCTTCAGTTTTTAAAGAAACTTTGTAGTTGAGAGCATGAGAGCACGTGAGGAAAGACAAGTCAAGTATTCAGACATTCAGAGCCTGTCAAGCCAGCAATTTACCTTTCCATGTTTCAGTTCCGCATTCAGGGCCAGAGATGGTATCAGAAGGAATTTGCCCAGGAAATGATCTTCAATGTCACCACCAGCAGCCAGACTCCCGAGGTGTGCTTGGACCTGCGTCCGGGAACCAACTACAGCATCAGCATCCAGGCTTTGTCTTCTGAATTTCCTGTGGTCATCTCGCTGACAACCCAGATAACAGGTACATGGTGAATGAAGTCACTGAGGATGCAGATCACGAGGCGCGCAAATACTTTCTATCATTAGATCGCGGACGTGAAGAGAAAGAGGAAGGGTGTGGACCTGGGAGCGGTGTAACTGAGGTTCGCAGCTGTCATCTTCATGTTTATTTCTTAAAAAGATACCCAAAACAAGCAATAACATTGATTAAACTGGGCCGTCTTCATAAGTGTTGAAGCCATTCCTTCTGGGTGTTTGAAGTATTTAAACATGTCGTACCAAGGAAGGATTTTTTTCTGTTACTCTTTTTTTCTCAATAATGTACTTAACTGTGATTCTGTTGCAGGTGACTTGTGGGGATAACTGTCAGTCCCACTCCACTGCCCTAGCCAATTAATTTTCCACTTACTTTCTCACCTTCGAATCTGTGATACCTCTTTTCAGGCTCTGAACTAGTACTCAGCATAATTTTGTCTTGCTGATTTCACTAAGAAATTAGAAGCAAGCAGATGAGGCCATGTCACGCCTAAATCTCCCACTGCTTCCTGCGCTTCCAGCCCCCACTACCAACAGGTGCGCTGGATGTCACCGGTTTAGCTTAATCCTCACATCCCCCAACAGAAAGGGTCGCAACACTAAGCATATCCTTTTAAAATAAAAGCAGAGTAAAATAGGCCCTTCCTGGTGGCGCAGCCGTTTAAAGCACAGCACTAGGAAGCTAAAGTCACTTCCTCAAGAGTTCCATCCCCTCCTGCTCCGGAGGTGACCACATGGCACAGCAGACCTCTCCTGACCCGCCTGCTGCTCCCCTCAGCAGTGTACTTCCTCAGTCTGCTTGTCTTGCTCCCCACTCTGTCTCTGGTGAAGCCTCTCACAGACCCTGCACCTCTGGCCTGTACCCCAGTACTGTATGAATAAATAAACAAATCTTTAAAAAAAAGCAGAATGAAATAAAAACACTTCCTTTGATGCTATATTCCCGCCAGCTATTCTGTTTGCGGGTTCTCCACACCCCTATCTCCTGTTCTCCCTCCACCTGGCTCCAGCGGGAGCCCTGTTTTACAGAAAGTATCTTCATCTTGCCAAAGCCGCTGGCCAGTGTTCTTTCCTGATTTCCTCTCCAGCATGTGACACTCCTTCTTGAAACAGGTCTCTTGCTGTCACGGGTGGTGTAAATACCACCCTCCATGCCTTAATCTTCGCGGTAACTTTACTGTAGTTCTGACTCATGAGTCACAGTGATCTTTTTAAAGAGCAGGCAGGAGCTTGTCATCCCAGCCCAAAACTCTTCAAAGAATTTGCACTCGTGTTGGAATGGAACAGGAGCTGAGCTCTGTACTGCGGAATGTTAGTCCGCCTCTCTGGCGCCATCTCGCCTGTTCATTCTCTCCCTTCCTCCCTTCCTCACTAAGCAGTAGCAGCCCCTGCTCCCCTCTCACCCCCCACCTTTTTGCTGTTTTCCAAGGGCAAACGGCCACACTTCCCCACTTGTTCTCTACTCGCATGCAAGCCGTTCATGGCTGTTTATCATTGTCATTTGTGTCTTTCTCCTAGGCTGTCTGTCACCTTCCAGAATCTTTGCCCATCCTTCCAAAACCAACCCCACCCCCACACTGACACCCTGCTTGAGTTTCTTCATAGAGCTTGGGTTTTGGAAGTATATTTTAAGAATTTACTTGTTACTAAGATACGAGTTTCTTAAAGATAGCTTTTCATCTGTGGGGTCTACACTGGACCCCCAGTAAGGAAAGACCATGCTAGCACAGGGCACAACAAAGAAATCTTGTAGTGACTGTCCAGGTGTGGTATCAAGCCAGCATAGAGCAGGTCCTCTATTCAGATAAAGAAGAGGCCAGGAGGCCTCAGTGGCTTCTTCAGGCTTCAATACTTTTTTTTTTTTTTAAAGATTTATTTGTTTATTCATATAGAACTGGGGTACAGGCCAGAGATGTGGAGGGTGAGAGGATTCAGTAGAGACAGAGTGGGGAGCAGAACAGGCAGATCAACGAAGTACACTGCTGAGGGGAGCAGCGGGTGGGTCAGGAGAGGTCTGCCACGCCATATGGGTCACCTCCCTGGCTGGGGATCGAACTCATGATACAGTAGTTGGCAGAAGACCTCAAGACATGAGGTGCTGCTTGCTGTTTTGGAGTGTTTTTTTTTGTTTAGATTTATTTTTATTTATTTATGTATAAAAGAACTGAGGTGCAGGCCAGAGACATGGGGGTGAGAGGATTCACCATAATAGGGAGCACAACAGGCAGATGGATTGAAATACACCGCTGAGGGGAGTAGTGGGCAGGTCAGGAGAGTCTGCCACTCCATGTGGGTCAGCTCCCTGGCCGGGGATCGAACTCATGCTGCAGTGGCTTCAGAGAACTTCATAATGATGTGCTTTAACCTGCTGCACCATCAGGGAGAGCCCTAACTGCTCTTTTAATTAATTAATTGATTTATTTTTTTCTATTTAATTTTTATTTTTCAATTTTTAATTTTTATTTTATTATTATTATTATTTTAAAGATTTATTTACTTTTGCATACAGAACTGGGGTACAGGCCAGAGGCTCAGGGGCGGCGAGAGGCTTTACCAGAGACAGAGTGGGGAGCAGAACAGGCAGATCGACGAAGCACACTGCTGAGGGGAGCAGCAGGCGGGCCAGGAGAGGTCTGCCGCACCATGTGGTCACCTCCGGGGCAGGCGGGAATTGAACTACCGCAAGTGGCTTTAGCTTCTCAGTGCTGTGCTTTAACCCGCTGCTCCACCAGGGAGGGCCCCTAACTGCTCTTTTTAAGTTAACTGTTTGGGGCAGTCCACAGGCAGGTGAGGATGGGATGTGGGGGGCAGGAGGCTGGAGGCCCCAGCTAATCTTTTACTTTCAGCTCTCACTTTTGTTTTTTTTGTGATTCTTGTAGCTGCCCCACCTTTTCTGTCTTCTGTCCCTGAGAGACATCGCCTTTATAGCCTTATCCTCCAGGCTCAGCTATGCCCACTTACGCATGCCCACACCATACTCCAGGGGTCCACAGCAGGTGTGTTCGTGACCTCACTCCCAAGCACTTCTGTATTCAAAGTGGTAAAAGCCTGAGCAATTCACTTACCCTACAACAGGTCAGCCCCCAAATGACTGGTGGATGCTTTTGGCAATGAGGAGATGCCTGCTTTGTTAAGACTCCAGACCAAAAAAACTCACCAAATTTGGGGGTGGCAGAACAGAAGTACTGTTTGAGTGGAGTATTCCTGCCTGTAGTGATTTACTCAAATGAAGTTATTCTATCTGCTGCTCTTTGCTTCTTGTTGTGTTTTGAGTGTCTTATATTTCAGTTTCAAATTAGAATTTCATATATTTTTGAGCTGGGGGAGTGAGCTCCATCTTGATGAGACTCTTCTACTTTGTTAAATGTAGTAGTCTAGTAGCTCAAGCGCACTGTGGCTGCATCCACCACCACTAGGGGTCACTGTTGAGCTGTCTAAATTCTTTCAGACCACTTCTTTTCAACTCTACCCTCTTTTAAAGAATTTACAATTTAAACTAATGTGTAAATTCAGGTTGTTAAGATCTTATGAAAAGATACAGCCCCAACCTCTTGTTTATAAAAAAAAGTGGGAAGGATTTTATGTGTTGATGTCAAGAGGAACTACTCCCCCCCCCCCCCCCATATATATCTTTGTTTCAAAATCATGAACTTTTAAGATTTACCAGAAATGTGGAGACAGGGATTTGGGCTTGAAAAATGCAGCAGCTGATTTCCCTGAAGGAAAGTGAGTGGAATTTCCCTTCTGAGTACTTGACACTAAGCTTAAGCTTCCTGATGGGAACAAGATGAAGATATCACTTTAAATATGTTGGTGATCTCAGAGGAGCGTGAAAGTTCCAGATTGAAGGACAGAGACAAGTGTCACAGAAAGAGGTGCTGGTGGGGGGTGGGGGGGAGCAAGGGAGAGGCAGCAGCTTGCTTACTGTGGCTGCTGCGCTGCCCCAGACAGCCATGGACCTGAGTTCTTCCTACAGCCTGGCCCTTTACCCTCTCCAGGTCAGGGTCAGAAACCACCTCTCCCCCTTGATGCTAAAGAGCCACAGGAGCTTTCCTTAGTCATGCTGTTTTCTAGCCAAGTCGAAAGGCTTGTAGGCATTTTTTTTTTATTTACTTATGCATACAGAGCTGGGGTGCAGCCTGGAGGTGTAGGGGTGGTGAGAGGATTCACCAGAGACAGAGTGGGGAGCAGAACAGGCAGATTGATGAAGTACACTTCTGAGAGGAGCAGCGAGTGAGGCAGGAAAGGTCTGCTGTGCCATGTGGGTCACCTCCCTGGCCAGGGGTTGAACTCATACTACAGTGGTTTGCCAGTAGTTTCACAGTGCTAAGATTTAATCCCTTGTGCCCCCAGGAAGGGCCCCCATCTTTACCTGTATTCATAATAAGACCTTCAGCAAAACACAGGTGTGTCCTAAGCACTACAGGGAGCTCTAGTCACCTGACTTCTGATGCCCCTGAAGACCACAGACCTCAGCCCCAACTCTGACACCTCCTGTCTCTCTACTGGGGGCCCCCAGGAAGGAACATGCAGCACCTCATCTCTTGAGGTCTTCTGCCATGAGCTTCTTTTACCTGGTGGGCCACCCACAAACCAACCAAGGACAACTTACTTTTTGTCCTCAGTGAGAACTCCATGACTTCAGGCTGGTTCCAGAGCACCCATGATGTGGGTGCTGCTCAGCTTCTTTCTATCCAGATTCTCTCACGGCCTTTGGTGGACCAGGTTGTTTGACATCTGGAGACCTAATGTTAGGCAGCAGGGCATGCACACCCTCCCATTCCTCCATGGCCACCTATTCCTCTCCACCCCAGAAACTTCCCAGCTGCATCCTTGCCTCCAGTCAAATCCCAAACCCCATGTGGAGATGGGTGTCTTTCTTCTCATTCCTCTCCCTAAAAACATTGCATCTTAGGCCTGGACCCCACTGAGGCAAACTAAAATAGCATAGAGAGAAACAGGCCAGATGCAGTCTCTGTATTAACTTTATTATTATTATTATTATTTTTATCACTTTTTTTCCTACAATATATGAATGGGGAAGTTTCTTTAAACCAGAAGCTTAAAGTTCAGGGTTTCTGTGGGAGGTAGGAGTGGGGGAGGAGCTTGGGGCGACTTGACAGTTTAACTCAGCACATCTTTATTGATTGGTTAAGTGCAACATGCTGATGAGGATATAAAGATGTATAGGAAATCCTTCCTTCTCCCGGAAGGCCAAGCCTCCTATACTGGTAGGGAGATGAAGGTTGTGTTGTCTGGAGACTTACAATGTAAGCCATCATTTTTTTCTATCGCTGCCAATTTTGATACCTCACGCCTGGTGTATGTTCGAATTTATGTGTGTTACTTTCTTGCATTTACTTGAAGTTGGAACTTTAGTTTTGGTGTGGGTGAAATTTTCTTTCTTTTTTTAAAGTTCATTTTGATGTTTTTTTGAGCAAGGAATTGCAACACTTTTGCAGCACACTATCTTTATCTCTTACGAAGTTTAATGGTTTGCCCAATAAACAATACTGATCTTTTGTCATCCATGTTACAGCCGCCCTCCCCAGGTTATCTACTCTTGAATTTTCTCTCCCACATGCTTTTTGACACTTAAACAGTTATGATTTTCATTTAATAAATACCATTAGTTCTTTTTATAGTTTCTGCCAAGAAAAACCTTTACCACCCTGAAGTCAAATCAGTTCATATTGGCTAGTATTTTCTAATGCTTCTTAATAATTACGCTTTTTGAATTTAAATTTAGACACATTTGGAGCTTGTTTTAGTGCATCACATAAGGCTTCATCCACATGGTAATTTTTTTCCTCCCAAATGATAATTTTTGTCTCCCATTCTACTCTTGAAAGTTGTTCATGTCACACACTATATTCTTGTTTATTTGTTTGGATCTCTCTTGACAGTCTAGTTTCTGCCATTGTTTTGCATTTTCTGTACTTGCGCCTTACTGTTCCAACTTGTGTAATTTTACAATATATTTTATATTTTGCAGGACAGGTTTTCCTACCTCACTTTCCCCTTCATCCTTCAAAGCTTTCTCATATGGTAGCCCCAGATATTTTTGCTCTTTGCTTCTAGTAGAGGATGGATATTGTTGGTGCCCAGGGATGATTAGGGAGGTCTCCCTTGTGGGCCTTTCCTAGCTCACATACACCAAACCGAGGGACTGATTCTCCAGCATGGTTCTTGCTGTGGTTTATATCAATCACAGTGCTAAAGGAAAGGCAAGAAGATCTGCCAAGGACAGCGCCTTGGGAAATATGCTAGAAGTTAAGGTTCTGGGAAATGTGGCTGGGAACCTGCCTAAAGAAGTTTAGGTGTTTACTTTAGAGAAAGTCGTCTGTTTGAAATATAAGGTGGAAAGACCTTAAACCAGCAGAGCCTAACACAGACCCAAAGTTACAAGTTGATGGTCATGGCACACTCAGAGCTGCGAGAATGATGCCAGACTAGAAAGCAGGCAGGAAATGGCCTTGGCCAGGTTGAGTGAGTGCTTTGTTCTGGTGTTGAGAAACTGGGTGTTTTTAAAAACTCAACCAAGAGATTGGAAGAGCTAGAATTATGAATCTTAGAGAAGAGCAAACGGGAATAATTTAAAAAAGTCTTCATGCAGGCGCTCACACAGAAAAGTGTAAACAGTTTATTTCCCTGTGGGTTGAAAACAGGAGATAAGTAATAAAACCCACTGACTTTATTGTAACAGCAAAATAACACAAATGAAAGGGCATTGCACTGATGCAATGAAGAGAAATTCCCACACTGGAAGGTGTGCCTTTCCCTGGGGTCCTGGGAGAGGCTTTTAGAACTGCATCCTCTCGCTCCCAGCAGCTGTGCAGGAAGCTGGCTGTGTTTTCTCTGCAGACTGTGATGCCTGACCTGGTTACCAAAACCAAGACCCAGATGCCTTCCCCTTCCTCACCTTCCATTACAGGCCAGCCCACCTCCTTCCTGCATGACTCTCCCCCGGCCCTTCTCATCCTCAGCCCTCAGGTGCTCCTTACTTAGATCGTGGATAACCTGTGCGTCTACTCTCTGCCAACCATTCTCCAAGCAGCCAATGTAAATTGTATTTCCTTTATTTATTTTTTTGAGGCTTGCTTTGCTTTCTAAGATTTATTTATTTATGCGTACAAGAGCTGGGGTCCAGGCCAGAGGTGCTGGGGATTCTTCAGAAACAGAGTGGGGAGCAGAACAGGCAGATGAACTGAAATACACTGCTGAGGGGAGCCGTGGGGAGACAGGAGAGGTCTGCTGTGCCATGTGGGTCAGCTCCCTGCTGTGTGGCTGCAGATTGCTTCATAGTACAGTGCTTTAATGTCTTGTGCCTCCATGAAGGGCCCGTAAATTGTATTTCTAAACTAAGGACCTCAGGTCTGACTGCCCCCCATGACTCTCACTCCATTGCCTACCTTTACCAGGATTCAGCCTACCTGTGGTCCTCCCTCTGTTCTTTCCCTTACTCTCTGTCCCCACATTTGTCTGTTAGTGCGCTTGATGGTCTCAGCCCCCCTGTGCATGGTCAGGGACTTTCTTTAAACTCCCACAGCAGGCTGTGTATAACTTTATTATCACATTAAGTGCCACCTGTTTACAAAACTGTCTCTGCCAGTTGGATGCAAGTCTTCCTGTTCTGCCTTTAGCAGAAGTTTATTTTATACATTAGGAGCAAGCAGTGGGATGACATCAGCACATGAACTGGGCTTAGAGATCACAATCATCTTTTTTTTTTTCTAAGAACAGTTTAGGGTTGTAGATACGATTATAATATTTATTATTCTTAAAATCAATCTATTAAATTTAGGATAGGTACATAAATTCATAAAATTTTAAGGCTAACATTGTTATACTTACTACAGTGTTGATTGGCTAACATAAAGTCCCTTTAAACCTTAGATACTACTTAATGATCTTCATTCTCATTGAGACATCTTAGAGGGTAAAGTCAAGTTGAGGGGTAGGGTGGAGACTGGGCTGGAGATGTGAAGGGGGATTAGGTGAGGTCGCGGGCCAAGGAGAAGTTGTGAAAGAGGGTAAAGTAAAAGTCGAAGACTAGGGTGGAGGAGTTTTCTGGGAGATAAATCACTAAGGGAGATAGTAAGATTCCTCATTTAAAGATTGAGCAATATAGTGAAATAAGCCAGAAA